TTACTAACTGCACATAACCCGTGGCCAACTGAGAATCTAGTTAAAGGGAATAGACAGCTTAGCTTAGTTTAGCCAGGCTAGCTGTTTCCCCCTGTCTCCAGTCTTTGTGCTATGCTAACCAGCTGCTGGTTCCAGTTTCATATCGAACAAGCAGATATTTGAGTAGCAGTATTCCTCTCATCTAACTCCCGGCAAGAAAGCGAGTAAGTGTATTTCTCAAAATGTCAAACTATTTCTTCAAATTTTTCTTTGACAGATTTAGGAACGATCGAGTTCTCCAACATGTCAAGTCTAACCTGTGAAACTCTTCTACAGAATTTGCAAAAGCTGATAACTTTTAAACTTTTTTTAAATAATTTAGTATGAAATTAGTGAAAATGAAGGATTTTCAGTTGCTGAATGTCACAAAAAGCTCTTTCATCAATCTCACCATATCAGTATTATTGTAACACTTGTGTCATCGTGGTTGTTTATGACATTAAAGTTTTCTCAGTTGACTCCTCAAGTGCCTTGATCAGCTGAAACAAAATTAATAAGGATTTATTAGTGCATGGTGATACCATGAATACACGCTGACCCTTTTCTGGTTTGCCAACAGATCAGGGAGCTCACCCTCCTCATCTCAAGCTACATCAACAGTGTTCATCAGCAGAAGGCGGCCGCCCACCACCTCTCTGCCCCGGCTCTGATGGTGGCCCAGCCTGTCAGTCTGAAGAGCAAAGAGCTGAGGAGCAAATCCCCACCAGCACTAGGACGCCCCAGCAAGGCCCCCACGCTGCTGTGACGACACTCAAAAATCACGTCATGATCTCTCTCGGAAAAACCTTATTGAAATTTGAAAATGAAGGATTGATTTACAGCTGCATAAGGAGAGATTCCATTGTCATACAGCCCTTCTTTCTAAGCAGTCCGAGCCTATAGATTTGTCTCTGTGGGCCAGAGTAATTTCTGCTATCCCAAACGGTCGCTTCTCTTCCTACTGTAAGTGACAAATGCGTGGATGTGAACTGTATACATACTGTAGGCACAGAGGTGTCTAGAAACAACAAAGAAGCTTTGCTCAACGTTGTCCAAGCACATTTGTCTCCCTGTTGAATGTGTGGCTTTCATGTGCTGACTCCAAAGGGAAAAAGCCAACACTATTTATTGACAGACTGAGCTAGCATTCTGAAATGTCTCATTAATCTATCTGTGTTGTGTGGTACATTTCTTTTTGTAAAGATGCTGTTCCAAGTTCATATTTGGATTCCTGACTTAAAAAAAATAATACATTCATACACAATATAAAAGAGGTAATGACACATTGTTAAGGACTCACTTAGAGGGTATTTCTGTATCTTTCCCTGTCCACAATAACTCTACGAGGAACTGTTGGGACTACCAGAAAACCCTTGTGTTATATTGTGTTGTACAGGTGCTGGTCATATAATTAGAATATCATCAAAAAGTTGATTTATTTCAGTAATTCCATTCAAAAACTGAAACTTGGATATTATATTCATTCATTACACACAGACCCGATATATTTCAAATGTTTATTTAATTTAAAACTGACTAATGAAAATCCCAAATTCAGTATCTCCGAAAATTAGAATATTACTTAAGACCAATACAAAAAAGGACTTTTAGAAATGTTGGCCAACTGAAAAGTATGAACATGAAAAGTATGAGCATGTACAGCACTCAATACTTAGTTGGGGCTCCTTTTGCCTGAATTACTGCAGCAATGCGGCGTGGCATGGAGTCGATCAGTCTGTGGGCACTGCTCAGGTGTTATGAGAGTCCAGGTTGCTCTGATAGTGGCCTTCAGCTCTTCTGCATTGTTGGGTCTGGCGTATCTCATCTTCCTCTTCACAATACCCCATAGATTTTTTATAGGGTTAAGGTCAGGCCAGTTTGCTGGCCAATTAAGAACAGGGATACCATGGTCCTTAAACCAGGTACTGGTAGCTTTGGCACTGTGTGCAGGTGCCAAGTCCTGTTGGAAAATGAAATCTGCATCTCCATAAAGTTGGTCAGCAGCAGGAAGCATGAAGTGCTCTAAAACTTCCTGGTAGACAGCTGTGTTGACCTTTGACCTCAGAAAACACAGTGGACCAACACCAGCAGATGGCATGGCACCCCAAACCATCACTGACTGTGGAAACTTTACACTGGACTTCAAGCAACGTGGATTCTGTGCCTCTCCTCTCTTCCTCCAGACTCTGGGACCTTGATTTCCAAAGGAAATGCAAAATTTACTTTCATCAGAGAACATAACTTTGGACCACTCAGCAGCAGTCAATCTTTTTGTCTTTAGCCCAGGCGAGACGCTTCTGACGCTGTGTCTTGTTCAAGAGTGGCTTGACACAAGGAATGTGACAGCTGAAACCCATGTCTTGCATACGTCTGTGCGTGGTGGTTCTTGAGCAATGACCTTTTGTGTCTTGCCCTCCTTGTGCAATGGTCATCTTTTGGACAGCTGTCAAGTCGGCAGTCTTCCCCATGACTGTGTAGCCTACAGAACTAGACTGAGAGACCATTTAAAGGCCTTTGCAGGTGTTTTGAGTTAATTATCTGATTAGAGTGTGGCACCAGGTGTCTGCAATATTGAACCTTTTCACAATATTCAAATTTTCTGAGATACTGATTTTGGGGTTTTCATTAGTTGTCAGTTATAATCATTGAAATTAAAAGGAATGAACACTTGAAATATATCAGTCTGTGTGGAATGAATATATACATTATACAAGTTTCACTTTTTGAATGGAATTACTGAAATAAATCAACTTTTTGATGATATTCTAATTATATGACCAACACCTGTATAACGAAGGATACTGAACACCATGATGAAAACAGCAGGCTAGAACAGTAAACAGCTGAAGGACAGTTCAAAGAGAGCGTAAACCAACTGCAGTGAATATGTATGTGTTTTATGTATCCCGTTTACAATGCAGTACATGTAAGTGGTGAGCTGTAGATGGGGTGAAAGAGGAAGAGGAAACCAGTGTGGACTCTGTGTGCTCTTAGTTACTGAATAGCCAAGAGAGTGGTGAAACTTTAATCATGCACAAATGCTTTCTGGTGGACTTAATCGCGGAGTGTATTTATGTATTCTAATTTAGAGGAAGATGGTAAGAGGATGTGACACATTTAGAGAAAACATATTGGTGGAAATGTATGGTGGTTGCTGAAGTGGGTTAAAGAGAAATACAGTCTACTATATTCTGTTTGTTCCCTTGTGTGACACAGAATGTGAAAGCATTTTAATGAAGCCATGGAACCTAAAGGTAAACTGGAAAACAGGGCCTTTTATTGTGAAATGTACTATAAAGATGATTTTCCCTTCCAGTATTATCATAAACCTGTATGCAGTGATTATGGCCAGGTTTTATGTTTATTTGTCATATAAAATAATCATCCTTGGAATAAGTGTTATATTACTGAAGTCTAATGCTTGAATAAACTAAACTACAGCAAACAAGTTACTGGTTTCACTGAGTGCACATAACATAACAATGAAACCATAAAAGACACTTTTTTTTTCTACCTCACAGTGTCTCTTCCCACAAAACCGCCTTCCAGCCTCCTCATTGGTACGCCTGGAAGTGACGTGCTGATACCTGCTACAGGTGCCCGACAGCAAGTGACACACCTCATTCCTGTAGTCTTTCACAGAACAGAGAAGGGGGGAGGGCCGGAGGAGGTTATATGATACCCAACCTGTCTGAACTAGTTAGAGAAGTGCTATTGTCCCAGTGTTGCTATGGAGATGAAGGGAGGGGGGGCTCATGGCGGAGAAAAACTGGGCGAGGCAAGGGAACTAATAGACAAATGATCAATGCTAATACTCTGCTGGATCATAAGGTGCATTATCAAAACTGTTGAAACGGAGAAGAATCAAACATGAATATGTCCACATGTGCGACTTTTGAAGTTAAACATGTGAAATACATTATTTTCACACTCAGTGATCGGGCTGTTTTTGTCATTGTATCGCCTTTGTGTCGCTTAACAAATAAAGACTTCAGTTAATTCAACCAGGACTGCCTTCGGGCTAGAGCACTGCTATCATGTTCTGACAGGATACCAAGGGATTCTGATCTCCATAGTTACACCTACATTTCTGTTCAGTGCAACACAGCACCTGTTACCAGTTTGTTTTGTAATAATTTCCCACCTCACACTTTTTGCTCCATTACAGGATTTCCTCCACATTAGCTATGCCGGACTTTCCACTCTTCACCTAACTTGAATAAAGCCTTTCTGTCAGTGTTTTGTGTGCATACAGCATGTGTACATTTGTGAGTAAGCCAGAACCTGACTGACAGGTTGAACACAGTGCCAAGCATTTTCAGGGATACAACTGGAAATGACTTAACCTCCCTCTACACCAACAGGTGTTGTCATTTAGCAAGGTAGTCTTAGCCAACCGGTATCTCGAGTACATTAAACATACTAGTATTCCACAGGTACAACTCAAAATGCATTTCACTAAATTTGCACAGATATAAAAATATATATAGTCAGGTGTATTGTCCTTCTGACTCAACAAGAATTCAAAGTAACCCATAAGAAGCAGATTAAGTTCCCTTCAAAGAAACAAATGTGACACTGACACAAACAAGGCTGCCACACCCATTGAAAAGCCTCATCTGGGTAGCAAACCTCCATTCATTCCTCCCCATGTAAACAAAAGGCTCATTACGATCCACCATTTTCAAAGCAGCCATCTTAGATACTTTATTCACCCACAAAAGGTGGTTTGAGGAACACGTCTATGTACTGTAACCTTTAACACGCTACGTGTTTGTGTCAACCGTAACAGGTTTGAGTGTCAGAAGAACCAACTTGATCATTTATTAAGCACTACAACATGCAAAATGTGGCCCACTGGCTTCCTCTAGCTTGTTCCTTTCCACCATGTGATCTGCAGTACTTTTCCAGTGTAACCAAGGCACGCAGTCTCAGACACAACACACTACCTTTACAATACAAGGAAACCTGCACCAATAAGAGTCTTTTAAAAACATTTTTTTATTAAAAACAATCCAACAAAACATTAAGACAGAAACTGTAAATCCATGACGTGGAGTTTAAACCATTCAACAAGTTCTAAACATAAAAATGGGCATGTGCCAGGCATATTAAAAAAGGGGGGGAAAGCAGTTCTTTATGGCATATAGATTGGATGCTGCGTTAAGACTTTACACAATTTATAAATAAAATGGTGGCACCAGTAGTGCTAACAACATAAAGAAAGTTGATTGTTCCTTTACAATTTGCATTCCTCAAGTAAAATGGTGAAAAATCGCACTTTCCCACGGCAAAAAAAAAGTTAATCCAAAAGATGATGTACAAGTGGACAGTCAGAGTCCCACTGCAATGAAGAGTTTACATGGGATCCAGCTCTCTTTGCTGAATGAGACAAGACAAAAAACAAATTGTTAACAACAGTAACTCTTACAGATCTATTGACATTGAACAATTAAGTTGAACTTTATTCTCACCTGAGCTTTGTTGTACCGCTGTTTCTCACGCCTTTTGGCAAAGAACTGCACACAAACAAAAAGACAATTAGGACTCAAATTGATAGCTCAACTCAAGCAGTGACTTACAGTTTAAAGACCTACATTGCGCTTACGCTAAATAAATGAGCTACATGCACTCACCAGTACCAGCAGGCCAGCAATCACAGCCAGCACCACCACCACGATGACAGCGATGATCCCACCAGAAAGGTTCTTCATGGTGAAAGTCGGGGCCTCTTCGTCCACGTAATACACCAGGATGTTCTCCATCTCCAGATTCTGGGTACCTACAAGTGGTGCAAACTTTGCTTCGTTCTTGAAAAGGGGCAGCACCTTCACCTGCAGGAAAAGAGGAAGTTATTAAAATGACAGAGTCAGTCAATGGGCCATTTCTACATATCTATGCATGTATCGATCTCTCTCTCTCTCTCTCTCCATCTCATACATCTTTCTCCATGTAGTAGGCCATTTGGGTCAGGTCAGTATTGCGTTCTCCTATTGGCTTCTTCACATCCACAACAATCATGCGGGCATCAGGGTCATACTGCAGGATGAGAGAATGCTTTGTTAGTCACTTAGTGAGGCATTTTACCAATGCTTTTTAGAAATTTAAATTATTTTAAATTTTTTAAAGCAATCTGGACTCACCTCGACTTCTTTCACCATGTCTGGGTTAAAGCTGGCGTAACGGTTTTTAATGGCTTGTCCAATGGCACTATATTAAGGCAAAAAATTGTGAATATATTGAAACTCTGATGTTGACAGTGTGATTGTGTTTTTAGAGGGCTGTTAAATATACTTACGTCTTCAAAGCGTTCTTATCCACTGAACTGTTCACTTTTTTGTGTGTCAGCTGAAGACGGATCCAGCTAAGGAAAGATTTTACAAAAAAAAAAATTAACATTTAAACTATTCATCCTAACACCAGTCCTCCACACTAATGATGATGAAATTACTTACTAGGTCTCCACCAGCTTGGTCACACTTGATGCTCTTGTCTCCCTTGTCAGTTCGACGAACACCAGCACTGTTGACACACCAGCACTCCTCTGTGTTGTTGCACTGCTTGGCCTTGAATTTGCCATCGTTCTCACACTCTGGGTCATAGATGCCATCGTTGTCAACGAAGGCAGTCTCCACTGGCTTTCCTCCTACTCCCCGGACGCTCAGGCCCTTTTTAGCTCTGTACATCTCAGCCTTCATCAAGAAGCACTTAGGGATCACTGAAAGTGAAACATCATCAAAAGGCACATCATGAGCAGGCAAGAACAAAACAACCTGCATAAGGGAAGGCTACAGACAGAAACTCTACAGGATTGATCACACGTGAATTTTACTTACAGGCAGAGCAGTTCAGGGTTTGTTTCTGGGTGTCACCGATCATAAGGTAACACACACATGGATTTCCGTCACAAGTGGCCCACTTCATAGTATTACATGAACCTAAGCAGGAAAACAAAAGTTGTTACTGATACTGCACCTAATTAAGACAATCAGGATTAACTAACATGAACTCTTAATTAACCTAACTGCACATCAAGTTAAACTTCTAATGGCTTAACTTTTAGCATCACTATACTTGTTTATATTTGTGGTTTGACATTACAAAGCTGAACAAGATTCCAAAGAAATACTCAGTGTCTCATAAGTTTAGTGTAAGCCGGTTTCATGTTAATTATTGTTTGGTCTGTAAGGCCCTGTAAAACAGGAGGGGCCCAAGGACAGCAGGTAGACTAACAGGTTTATACAACACCTGGGCGTTGGTTTCTTTTAACAGAGAGCGGGACAAATCCTCCCAACCCCCACTCAACAACACTGTTGCTTTTGATATCCAGACAGCTTTAAATCGCACTTTTCCCTCTCTCTCTTCGCTAATAAAGTCACTTTGAACGAGCAAACACTAAACTGAAGAAAGGAAAGGTGACTTTGAGGATGTTTGAACACACCACTTGAAGATAACATTTATAATTATTTTATTGACTAAAGGGTAATTAAAACAGGCCTACCGAGGAAGGGTTCTTGGAGAAATGAAAATACAACAATTAAGCTAATTATCTAGTCCTCATTGCTTCATAATATATTTCGAGCTTAATAAAGTTAAGTTAAATAAATCCAGCTACTTACAGTCTTGAGCTGAGGCTCCCGCCGCCAAGGCAGTGAGAACGAGAGCAATCCAAATGTTCATGATGAAATAATTTAAAACAAAACGGATTAATGAAGAAAGTGTCCCTTGATGGCTGTCTTCGCGTCCGTCGTCCACAAAAGATGGAGTAAAGAATGGCGTCCGGGCACACAGGGCTTCCTTTTTCTCCTCACAGGTGTCCTGGTCAAACCTGTTTGCAGAGAAACTCGACGAGCGCACGCGCACAAAAGGTAAAGCCTGAAAGCACCACCAACGGTCGCGATATCCTTTTTGGTGGTTGTTGTCGAACTGATCGCGAGCTGTTATCAAGTAAATTTATAAGACAAGTTGTCTCGTGACGTCACTCTAATTAGCATAGTAGGTGACGAGAGAAGGGGTGGTGGACAAACGCTCCTTTTTTCCTCCGGTATGACCATATCTGGTCTGCCTCTCTCGCTCTCTGTTGACACGATTAATACTTTCGTCTACAACTCTAAATGTACTTAATTGTCTGTCATACTTTTGATTAAAATAGACCCCCACTGAAAGAAAATCTCCATTTAATCATTTAGCCTACAGTACATGTAAGGGCAGAAAATGGTCATTTTCGTCCTCACTCAGTTATCATTAAAAATATCTGTAGACTGTGGTTTATAGTGACCTGTATAGGTCTACTGAAAGAATCATATTCCTGCTGGATGCAAATAATTGGGTAAAGGTATATATATATTATATTGTATCATTGTATGTATGTTTTAGACAGTTTATAGTGACTTTTGTAATTGCTTTTACATATCCCCAACATATTAACAAATCATACTATATGTCACATTTTGTGATAGATTCAAACTATTTAGCTGTGTCCAAAGTTGTGTTCTTGTTCATATTTTATACCATAAACCTAAAATATTACAATAGTGTCAAGCAAGTTTAAATATCTATTTTGTTTATAATGAACTGAGAAACACTGTTTGGCATGATGACATCACCAACTGTCCGAGCAAGTATCTTCCATGACAGAAACCAGGTTGGGAAAACATTTCAGGTGTTGTGAGTCACAGCTGGATGACACAGCTGAGTCACAACCTCAGGTCTCATAGAGATTATCTACTGTATCTGAGAAATATTCTCACAAGCAGTGCACCCAATATGTGTATCCTTATTCATTAGTTGATGTCAATCAAGAATCAAATGGGCTATACTGGAAAGTAAAGAGAAGAATCTCCTGAATGAAACACAGAGTCAACAGTAATGTCCCTGAGATCAAATGTTAAAGAGGATGACCAGGAAGTGGCCAGATGCCCCTGAAGCAGTGACAGAAGAAGATGTTGTAAACCTTCTGGGCCTAGCCCGAAACTAGGGGGGTCCAGGGGCATGCTTACCTGGGGAGATGATTTTCCTATATTCAACACCCATATGGACTATTTTTCAAGCCATTTGACATGCCTAAACATCTGTACATCATTTGGGGAAAACACAATAGGATGGAAAAATCCTCCTGACTGGTGTTGTCCAGACTGCGCCAGTCTGCCATGCATGCCAGGTCTCGGTGGTGGCAAGGAAAGGCAACTTTATTTCTAAGCACAATTCATACAGTTCAGGACAGTTCAATGTGCTTTACAGGGAATGAAAACATACAAACAAAAACTATATACAGTATATGGCAGAGGTGAAATGTTCAAAAAGTCCAAAATTACAGGCAGGCGTTACAAGAGATTAAAATACACCCCTGTGTTCTCACCTGTCTGTAAGTTGTAAGTTAAGGCCTATGTCATTGCTGTGTACCCAAATGCAGATACATTACTGGATACAAACACGTATTTCCTTTCTAAAGAATTAGCATCCACATCGGAGCATTAATGTGTCACCTGTCACAGCATGAAGCTAGCAGAAAGTTGTTGGGCTTCAGCTGCAACACATCTGGGTTTGCTTAAAATACGTGGGATAAATGATGTTGAAGAAACGGTAACTTTGAAATTCACTATAGGAGAAATTGGAAAGTTAAAGAGAAAGCTACAAATTTCTTTAAAAAAAAAATGTTCTCAGCTTACTTCCAAGATTTCCTCAGTGACCTCAGGGAATATCTTCTCTATATTATATTTGCATTTTGTGGGGATTTGTAAACCTGTGCAATTTCATGAGCTGAATAGAACCATACAGAAAATAAAAGTTGTTATTTTGCAGGCTTTCATTATGGCAGCCATTTTGGATTTTTTGGATCATTATTTGACTTCTAGATTGCCAAGCACCAGGATTATCCATGCTAATTTCCAGTGTCAATGAATCCAGTGGTGTTATTTCAAAAGTATGGATGATTAAAGACAAAGATAAGGAGGGCATTTGAATTTCAACATGCAGAAAAGAGAAAAGAACGGTTACACTTCTATAATGTTGTATTTGCATAATGTCTATGTGATTGAGAAATTGTTAAACTGAAAACATGTGTGGCTTCATTTGGAAAAAGGAACTTATATACTGCTCACATAGATTAGACATGTGTACTCTGTATAACCAATGAATAACTGTGTTGCTTATGACCATACATGTTTGTTATGTCCTCAGGTAGCTCAAGCCCAGAGGTGAAGAGAGAAGTAACAAAGATACTGTAAATGAAAACCAGGTCAAGATTATGTTATTATAAGACACAGAAACACAAAGTCTTCACAAAGAACTATTTAACTAAAAGAAATGATATAGGTTTTAACTAAAAGCACAGAACTAGCAACTTAAATAAAAACACACTTAACACCCTCCCTCTTCTGAGGGAGTATGCGAGCCCACAGCTACGCCAATCGCCAAGGCACACAGCTCAACTCCTGCTGCACCCAAGCACCGCCATCTGACCCACTGGTCAGCAGCCACACAGGGTGGCCTCTCAAGACCAGCCACATTGCCCGGTTGCTGCTCTCTCCTTCTCTTCTCCTCCAGGTAGCAGCAGCCATTCACTAGTTTCAACTGTGAAGCAGGAGAGAGAGCACCTGGAGAACTACAGGAGAAGGAGACGCACACAAAACAAAACACAGGGCACACGGCGACAGTGTTGTAGAAGATGAGTAGAAGGCAACATGCACAACACTTGCTTGGTTTCTTTTGTGGTGCAGGGAATCAAATCCCTGAAAGATCCATTTCAATAGAAAGAAGAATAAAGAATTGACATATATGCTGTAGAAGCCTTGACTTTGTTAGGCTTTAGTTAAACCCCCTCATCTCCATTGTAAACAGGAATAGTAATTCTAAGTGTAGTCAGACTTTATTGGATCTTCTTCTTATTGGATCTTGGTCTGCAGTTTTGCAGCTTTTTTAGACTTAGGAATTGTGTTTGGTTTAATCACTCATTTTATACAATTCTATCTCAAAGTATTAGTTACTAGACATTGGCTTTGAATGTATTTTAAGTTTTGGTAAATATCTAAACACACATTGATGTAAATATTATCCTGTGGTTGGAGGCACTTCATTTTCCTACCCGAGGTTTCCCCAGTGAATATCCATTCTGGTGTGCTACCAACAAATGTGTGAACCCTCAAACAACCTAAAAAGCCTTGCTAAGGCAGGAAGGCAGCGTAGTAGTAACTTGAGCCTCACAGCAAGGAAATAGCACCAAACCAATAGGAACAGGACTTCATTGAACCATGGTGTAGGCTCCTAAGCAGTGCCGGGATTTTGGAGTCCATCAGAACTAGTCACAAACACCAGATAGACAAGGGAGCTGATTGTTGACTTCAGCTGGGCTAAGCCTCCTCTGACCCCTGTATCCATCCAGCATCGATCTATCTATCTATCTATCTATCTATCTGGTGCAGAGCTGGAGGCTCATTGCAGAGAAGGCGAGGACCTCTAGTGGGCCCTTTTATACTGTAGGCTATAGAATAACAAGAAGATCACTTCCTGAATAGATTTCACGATCAGCAGATGGATTTATCAGTAGTTTAGCTTTTGAAATAATTCTAAAATCACATCTGCTATCATAAAATCCTGTGGTTGGTTCGATTGCTTACACATCACAACTGAACCACACCAGAGGCTGCCGTCCACCCTTTTCAGGTGGTGATGTTGCATTTGTTTGATGAGCCCCAGGGTTCGATTGACAGCTTTCACATCAGCCCAAACTAACTGTACTACTAACCGGGCAAAAGAACCAGGGTTTGTTTTAACGGAACCAAACAGGTTTGGTTTGAAAACAAAACTCCTGAATAATGTTCGGTCAGGCAGATTGGGCCCATGGTGGTTCCCTTTGTAACTGGAGGGAGCCGTGGGCCTAGGGTGGCCGCACCCTATTTGCATGCTTTCAGCCTGAGACAAAAATGATTTAACACACTGAGGGTAAATTTACAAAGAATGGATTGCTGCTGCTGAAATGTCTCAAAAACATTTACAAATGCAGCTACAAGAGCAAAACTTTCCACTCATATCTTAAAATGTTTGATTAAAGAGAACATATTGCTTCCTTTAAATAGGCTACGTGCTAATAGCACCTAAGCACCAAGATGCTATTTGCTTAGCAGCACAGTTAGGGGTGCATTTCTCCCTTTGTGGGTGCTTTGGGTATTACACGGGGTCATGTAGCCTCTTTTTTTCCCTCACAGTATTGCTTGTCCTTTTATGTGCTTTTCCTCATGAATCTGCCAGTCACAATTGACCTCAAGGTAAAGAAAATATACATATTCCCCAAGCACAAAGTCACTGTAATTGTTTGCAATATGGCCAACCCAATGTAAAAACACAGCTTTTGTAAATGATGAGGATGAGGATGAAAAATCTGGACTAAATGTATTTTCCCATTATGAGTATAATAATCATTGTATGTGAATATTAGACACCTTGGTTCATGTACTGTACTTATTTTGCTAGAACTCACGAGGGGTCTTCAGAGGAAATGATCGCTTTCTGAAATTTTTAATGGATACTTATTTCACTGCTTATGAAATCTATGTAAATATGCTAAAGAGAATCAAAAACAGATCATTAAAGAGTGTGAGAGTTATTTTCCCATAAAGGGGAGATCAGTCACACTAAGCACTGAGCGCTCTCATCAGGTCAAATTGTTAATTAGTACTACTTACTGACTAAATACCTGCAAAACTAACTTTTGTCACACTGTGTCACTGTCCACTCTCTCCCTCCACTGTTGACCTGGGGAGGGAGTAGACAGGAACTCAATGACACGCTGTGTGACCAACTGCTTCCATTCATCAGAGAAAAACTTTACTGGCAGAGCCTCAAACACATATGTTCAAGAATCAAAACTGTGTTTGTTTCAGATTGATCTGTCCATCCATCCATCGTCAATCCTATGTACAGGGTC